TGGCAGTCACGCAGGTTTTATTTGACCTTGACCTAATTTTTCAAGGTTCATTGCTCAGTGTTAAGTTTTTGTGTTTTGGTCTGTTTTTCTTAAACTATAAGCAATAGGTCAACTATATTTGTTGTATGGAAGAATTTTTAGCTGTACATGCCTGCCTAGCATGGTTCATCTGACCTTGACCTCATTTTCATGGTTCATTGGTCAATGTTTAGTTTACTTGGTTAATGTTAAGTTTATGTGACAGTTGTAATAAAGCTTTATATTTAGGACAATCAACATAATATCAATGATTAGTAAAGAAGGCGAGACATTTCAGCGTGTGCACTCTTGTAAATTTCAGATTTACCGTTTCCGAGTTTTGTGGTTTTAGTCGAGCCTTTGACTTTAGTCGAAAAAGCGAGACATAGCGATCCTACATTCCGTCGGCGGCGTCCACAAATATTCACTCTGTGGTTAAAGTTTTTGAAATTTTAATAATTTTCTTAAACTATCCTGGATTTCTACCAAACTTGGACAGAAGCTTGTTTATGATCGTAAGATAGTATCCAGAAGTAAATTTTTTCCGTATTTTACTTATAAATGGACTACCACATCTTTTTATATCTATTAGTTTTTCTGTCGGGAAATATTACATTCACTCTGTGGTTAAAGTTTTTAAAATTTTAATAACTTTCTTAAACTATCCTGGGTTTCTACCAAACTTGGAAAGAAGCTTGTTTATGATCAAAAGATAGTATCCAGAAGTAAATTTTGTAAAAAAATAAATCCATTTTTTCCGTATTTTACTTTTAAATGGACTTAGATTTTCTGCCAGGAAACAACACATTCACTCTGTGGTTAAAGTTTTTAAAATTTTAATAACTTTCTTATACTATTTTGGATTTGTACCAAACTTGGACAGAAGCTTGTTTATGATCAAAAGCTTGTATCTAGAAGTAAATTTTGTAAAAAAATAAATCCATTTTTTCCGTATTTTACTTTTACAGAAGCTTGTTTATGATCAAATGCTAGTATCTAGAAGGAAATTTGTTTTCTTCCAGTTAACATTACATTCAGTCTGCAGTTAAAGTTTTTAAACATTTATTAGATTCATAAACTATTCTGGAGTTTTACCAAACTTGGACAGAAGCTTCTTACAATCAAAAGATAGTATCAAGAGGAATATTTTTATTGATTTACTTCCTCATTTTTGTTGAGCCTGCGATTAACAGAAAAAGTAGGCGAGACACTGGGTTCCGCGGAACCCTTACAAATTTTATTCATTAAATAAGGGGGGATTTTCCAGTTTTCCGACAATAACTCGAGAATGCTTTCACCAACTTGAAAGAAATTTTGGTGGATTGTTTATATCTATTGACTTGAGCTCCCTTTTGGATTTTTATAAATTTTAGATTTAATGTTTCCGAGTTACATGTACAGGGTTTTATTCATAAAAAAAGGGGGATTTTCCAGTTTTTGGACAATAACTAAAAAATGCTTTCAGCAGTTCTCATGAAACTTTGGTGAATTGTTTATATCTGTTGATGGAAGCTCCCTTTAGAATTTTATAAATTTTAGATTTTACATTTCTGAGTTATGGGGTTTTATTCATTAAAAAAGGGGGGATTTTCCAGTTTTTGGACAATCTCTCAAAATTGCTTTCAGCAGTTCTCATGAAACTTTGGTGAATTAATTATAGCTGTTGATGTAATCTCCCTATTGATTTTCATAAATTTCATATATGACATTGAGAAGAAATTGAACTTTATTTGTTATAGTCTGACAACAGATTTACTAAGTATTGCGCAACAGCACAGTGTATTACACAACAGCAAGAAATCTTTAATTGAATATAAATTCATTTCATATAACCAATTTCAAGTTCTTTGACTACATCTATTTAGAAACCCATAATATGTCAAATATTTAATTACAATCCAAATTCAGACCTGTATCAAGCTTGAATATTGTGTCCATTTTTGCCCCAACTGTTCAGGGTTGGACCTCTGCTGGCGTATATCTAGCTGCGCTCAGCAAAGCAGTTTATTAAGTCTGACGCCATTTCCTGATTTCAGTAAAATATGATGGTTTTGTGCACAGATCAGATTGTTTATTGAGTATTTTATTATGGCTCTATTCATAATTCCAATCTTATTTGCAAATATCACATAATAATCTGATTTCATTAGTGGAATCGGTGACTGAAATTAAAAAGGTTAACATATCGATTATTCTGTTTTCTGCACAATGAAACAAAAAGCATGGTGACAAAGCAACTCGCCTCCTAAAAATTGTTGGTTCATGTTACATGTACTACAAATAGTTGACCTTTGCGTTGACATTCTTTAGATTTACATCCAATATTTTGAACTGGTGAAAAATTCAAAATGTTATATTGACATCAGTTCATGTTTAAGATACTTTTGATACCTTTCCTGAAATTCTCCAGTCATAAAATCTTTTACAAAAATTCATCCTACAACAATTTACTGTCAACCACGCTCTAAATGCCCAAAATTTCGCGGGTGTGTTCTAGTTTATTTATATTTTTTCAGAATAAATATATATATACATGTATAGACAAACAAAATATTTGCTTGTTTCCTGACTCCTAACCGACCCTAAGTTTGATCATGAGAAAAAGTGTTGTCTTCTTATTTGATTTGATTTGATTTGATTTTTGGTGTTTTAATGCCACTTTTAAGCACCGCTTTTGGGCTATTTTGTGGCGGCCAGTTTTAATTGGTGGAGGAAGCCAGAGTGCCCGGAGAAAACCACTGACCTTCGATAGGAAAACTGACAATCCTAGTCAATTAAGATTAGAGTCGAGTGCACCCGCACGAGCGGGGTTCGAACTCGCAACCTCAGTGTTGACTGGCTAGTGATTACAGTAGTAACTACTTAGACCACTCGGCCACCGAGGCCCCTCTCTTCTTATTTGACTATGTATCCAATTTCTGCTGGATTATTTACTAAGATTTGTAATAAGATTGATGCATATTGATTGTAGAACTTGTCAAACCATTGAACATGATAAACGTATGGATGCATTAGTGTATAACAGGATGAAACTTAGAGAAAACATGTAATTTTTTGGATTTTGTAAACATGCCAAAAAAAAAACCAAAAAAAAAATCGACCAAACAACCCTATTTTATAATGGTCCGAGGCAGAAAACAGACACATATTTTTTGGCTTTCAGCTTGAAATAGTAAGACGGGGGATGACATAACATGTCTAAAAATTTGGGGTCATGATTTCAGACACTTCAGCTGAATAATCAGATACCGATTTTGTTTATTTTGTGTATTCATCAAATTTGCTATAAAATGTGTGTAATTTTGGAATGTTTTGAAATACAGTATTGCTCTGACAAATCTTGTAAAATATTTTTGATGCCCCCATCTTAAGTATTTAAAAATTAGATACCCTCTTATCAATACCCAAAAATTTCCAAGCTGAAAAAGTCCAGACATTTTAAAGATTCAACTTGAGCTGGGTTTTGTTCAGAGGTTTAGTTTAGACAGCCTGACAGGTTTAAATGACAAAATTCACATGTATATATATATGTGGCATGCACGGTCAAATCCAATCTGCATCCTTGGGATGCTTTGTGGGCAACCTTGAGACTTGATGTCTCATTTAAAAGGACATTTGACCATTTAAAAAATGTTCAAAACCAAAATCAGATTAGTTAAGAACTGTATATATATAGTTTGCTTTAAAGTATATGTGACCTGGTGACCTGATGCTACATGTGTTTTTAAACCTGACCTTGTAACCTAACTTAAGGGAGTACCTTACTGGAGCCCTATATCACGTATATAGTTTGAGGTCAAAGTTGAACTGGCTGAAATGCACTACTGCACCCAAGTGAATTTTGTCATTTCTACTTGTGCATATACATGTACTGTATATCAGTTAAATCAATGAACAACATGTAACTCTATAGTCTTGGAAAACACCAGGTTCATATGGTTACTATCAAGTTGATGTTATTATCAGATGCTAAAGTTATTATATACGGTAAGTTTTCTTTATATATGAGAACTGTTTCATATAACCAATCACTTATATGTTAATTGTTCTTGGGTGTTTTACACCTTGTTGTAAATATTTTTATATTTATATATATGTCAAGGGAATATATATTTGCCTCTCCAATATAACATGGTCACATTGGTGGCAGCGGTTTTAGTCATCATAGTAACACCGGACAATTCTGTGATAAATCCTATAGTAGTGCAATACATGACTGAAATTATGGCAACATTGCAAGCTGCCTCTCCAGAAATCTTTGAATTTTGTAATCCAGAAATATGGAACAAATGGATCCAAAGGTTTAATGGATTTTAGATCTGCTTCAGGGCTAGAGGAAAAAAAGGAACTACACAGGTCAACTCTTTAATCCACATTACAAGTGCAAGTGTTCTGGACTTAAACTGTGGTAAACCAAACATATCTCTTCTTTAATGGTGCCATTTTTTAGGGACATGTGAGTGAGGGACTAAGAGGGGGTGCACCTTACCCCCCCCCCCCCCCCCCAACCCCCCAACCCCCACCTAAAATTAAAAAAATAAAAATTGATTGGTACAGACAATTTTTGGTCAAAATATGGTCCTTCAACGTCTTTTAACTCCTAAATCTCAAGAGCACCCTTACCCCTCCTAACATCAAATCCCGGATCTGTGCCTGCATGTCATTTCTTTTTCCAATCATAAGACCTTGTATCAGGGAGGTCTATGGTTAGAGGAAAGAGGGGGTATATTATTGGTAAAAACACAGAAAAAAATTTTGATTATTTTTTCTATCAGAGAGGCATACACCTTTTACGCTTCCCCTGAATCCGCCACTGTAATTAACATGTGCATTGAAAACTAATTGAGCTTTTGCATTCAATGTATATTTATCACTGTTTGAATCAGACCTGAGTAAGCTGTCCATAGTGGACATGTTGAATTACACAATCCAAATATGCTGTTGTGTTACTTTTGTCATTCTATTATTTTTTTTCTTTCTAGGATTGGAGGAGCTTTAGGTGGACTGGCAAACTGGTCACGGTTGACTGGATCAGCAGACGACGACTGGATAGATAGAATCAACCATATATGGAGTGTTGTCCTGCTGACAGCTTTTACTATTATTGTCAGCTCAGCACAATTTGTTGGTGATCCTATCCATTGTTGGATGCCGGGGGAGTTTTCGTTTGCACGAGTAGCGTACGCCAAATCTACCTGCTGGATTTCGAATACCTATTACATTCCAATGGATGATGCCATTCCAGAACATATTGAGATGAGACAGAACAAAGAGATAACTTACTATCAGTGGATACCCATAATCCTCTTGTTCATGGCCTTCCTGTTTAAAGTACCAAATATTGCATGGCGTCTGCTAAACGGTTATTCTGGCATTGATATGGATAAGATTGTCAGTCTGTCTAATGCTTCTTTATTATCTTCCCCTGACGATCGGACAAAAAACATTTCTCATATTGCGAAATACCTTCACCGATGGATCGAATGCCAGCAAGATTACCATAGCAACATTCTTGTTCGTATGCGACATAGATTTTCAAATATCTTTTGTTTTTGTTATGGTAAACGTGACGGAACATTTTTAACTGGGTACTACCTTTTCATTAAACTGATGTATTGTGCCAATGTGGTCGGTCAATTCTTCATACTCAATGCCTTCATGTCGATGGATTATAATGTTTTCGGGTTTGAAATTTTAGATTATTTGTTGCATAACGGTGAATGGAAAGAATCGCCAAGATTTCCAAGGATAACTTTATGTGACCTCCAGATTCGCCAGTTAAACAATGTCCAAAGGTGGACAATTCAATGTGTTTTGCCGATTAATCTTTTCAACGAGAAGATTTTCATCTTTATATGGTTTTGGTTGTTTTTGGTTTCCATTTTGACATTTATCAACTATTTTTCGTGGGTTTTCTATTGCACCTTTAAAGAAAAAAAGTTACACTATGTTATAAAGTATTTGAAAATGGAACATGAAATTAGAACTGGTATGGACAAAAAACTAGCTAGGAAATTCGTGGAGACCTATTTACGTAATGATGGCGTTTTTATTTTACGAGTCGTTGGGAAAAATTCTTCGGACATGGTATTAACAGATCTTGTGGTGAATTTATGGAAAATATTCAAAGATTCTTACGTTCCAAGCCAGAAAAGTAACAGGTCACCAGGAAGCGAGGATACAGATTATTTCCGGTTGAATGGCGACACAACTAAAGAGAATTATGTCTAATATAAAGATATATTTGTTTGTCCAAATATTAGAATATTTCTGTAAGCTTTAAATAGCATGAATTGCTTGGTTTTTCTCCAAAAAATAAAATTATGAAGATTACCAAAATATAAAAAAAAATCTCGCTTAACCAGTATTATTTTGAAGTTAAAGTATTGAACATGTTGAAGGATCAAAATTTTTACAAATTATTTTGATTTTTGAAATTGTGGATTTGACAGTTATTTCTTTAAGAGACTTAAAAGATTCAGTGAACATTTTCAAAGATATTTTGGGGTTTTAGCTTTTAAGCTGTTACAGAGTCTACTATCATAACTGGTGTACATAGGGAATATGTGGCAATTTTTTTTATTAACTTTCTTTGATTTGTAAAAAAAAAAAAAGCTGTTTTCAAAAATGCAAACACTTTCATTAAAAATCCCTTTCCAATGTTTCAACTCACTCAATTTTGAAGCCATGACACTGTAGTACATGTTGAGTCAGTCTATGAGGCATACATCATCCATGTATGCAGAAAACTTAAAAGCTTTAAAACCATTTGTACATGTTCCCAGTTAGTGCTACATTTACAATGTTCAAGGCCCAAGGCAGCAGAAAAAGTATTTAAGTTACAATGCTGATTCACCTTTAATTTAAGTGATGGCAGAAAGAAAATATTTAAATTGTCGCTAAGCTGTGAAATCTAGTCAGACATTTAAGTTAGAAATCCGGACTTATTTTGAATTGTCTATAATTAAGTTACAATATGTTGTGATTTTATCTTTTGTATTGTGAGAAGTTTAGACATGTTAGAGGTCAAAGACCAAGATATTGACTCCTGTAAATGTACATAATAAGTTACAATATGTTGTGATTTTTCTTTTGTGTTGTGAGAAGTTCAGAGGTCAAAGGTTAGCTCCTGTAAATGTAGATAATTGTTTCACTTTGATTGTTTGTTTTGCATGTTTTTGTTGGTTTTTTTTATTCAGGAAGAATATTTTTAAAATTTTTATTTTTTTATTTTTATGATCTCATTTACTGTTATATAATGTTCATGCAACTACAAAAATGTACAAGTGGTATAAATACACCATTGGATGCAAGATCAAGACTGGACATATTTTTTAAAAAGTGGTACATGTGTGTCATATATATGTATACATGTAAAAACATACACCCTGACAGAGCTGTATATTACAGAAAACTATACTGGCAATTAAAATGTATATGTATCTTTTTCCTCTGTTCCTATTTTGATATAAGGCCAAAAAATATGTACTTGTTTCCTGTCTCCCGACCGTCCCTCTCAGACCTTCCTACTGTTATTTTTTGGTGCTTTGCTGAATTTGCAGAAAAGTTGTCTGAATCCCTCCGAAAAAATAAAGAATAAAGCATATCTCAAACATATGATTTATCTCTGGACATGTTTATTTTCAACAGTTCTACTTGATCAGCTACCAGAATAAGTTTCATTTTTGTTTTCATTTTGTTTATACCAGTTTACTATATGAAATATATTATTTAAAAGCGTTTGAATGGTTTTACACTAGTAATTTTTGGGGACCTTTATCATGTTTATAGCTTGCTGTTCGGTGTCAGCCAAGGCTCTGTGTTGAAGACCGTACTTTGACCTATACATGCTATAATGGTTTACTTTTATAAATTTTGACTTGGATGGAGAGTTGTCTCATTGGCACTCATACCACATCTTCTTATATCTATATAAATATTATAATTATACAACTGCACCTAAATTGGCATGTCCAGGTGTTTTAACAATATTGAAACACATTTGGAGATGTGGGCTAAACAGAAAATGATGTAAATAGCTTTCTGCTATCCTAAAATGTTCAGTAATGTTCATTTGGTATTGATTTTGAGTATTCTCTGCTCTGAAATTAACCTGTATCTCAGTAAAAAAGAAATAAAATAAAAATAAAATAATTTCCCTTCCTTCCCTATTTTTTTCAATTTGGGGGCAGGAAACAAGCATGTATTTTTTTTTGCCTGATGAAATTCTATGTTAGGGCTATTCCATTAAAATGTATGTGGGAGGGTAGGAAGGGAAGTTTAATTATTGAAAGTGGGTCATGGGTCTTTTTCCAGTATGCATCTATTATGCAAAATTATCTAAAAATGGTTCTTGTTTCACGTTGTAGGGATATTTTGAAAGTCCCTTCCTATCCTCCCACATACATTTTAATGGAATAGCCCTTAACATGATTAAAGATGGCTTAAAAGAAATTTACAATGTAGTGAACAAATCCTGGACTGTTGACATTTATGTGTAGTTGAGATTTCATACTGGTCAACTTTTAACATGTTTAACATTGTTTAATCATATGAATTTATTTCAATGGTATATTTATACTGCTTGTTACATTATACCGTTTATCAATAGACACATTCCAATTATATTTTTTTATGGCCATTATTGAATAGGCATTACATTCTGCAATTTCACATGATGTAATGGTTTCCGTCCATCCATCTGTCTGTTCACACTTCAATCAATTAATAAGTTCAGAAATGTTTGCGATGTTTTTATTAATTTTGAAAATTGTGACGGTATACGTTTTGCAATACTAAGTGCTATTCCATTAAAATGTATGTAGTATGTGGGAGGGTAGGAAGGGACTTTCAAAATATCCCTACAACCAAGAACCATTTTTAGATAATTTTGCATAATGGTAATAGATGCATACTGAAAAAAGACCCATGACCCACATTCAATAATTAAACTTCCCTTCCTACCCTCCCACATACATTTTAATGGAATAGCCCTAGAAATAATTAATTATGTCATTATTTGTATTCAACATTTTCGAAAATCACAATAATTTATCTCACAATTTTGTCTTGTTCAACAATGGCATAAATGATCATGATGATATAAATGCACACAACAATTTCTGAATTTACAGTAAGCCAATTTTCCTTTGATGAAATTTTATGGAATTTTAATATAAAAAGTGTAAAGATTGATGAAAGAAAGCTCAACCAATCTTGTTAACTCTCTACTTTTTTCATTTTGATGGTTTTTTGGTTCCTTTTTCTAAAATTATAGGGCTTAAATTGTAAAAAATCAGATAAATCAGGCTGCCTTTTCACACTGTGCAATAACTCACATAGGTCACACATGCAAGAGCAGCAAGACATACATGTACATGTATATCTCTGTTTTAATGGTTTATTAGTTGTATGACCGTGATTAATGATTTTTACATAAATGTACCTCATGTGTTTCAGAATTTCAAATGTACTCAAGTGTTCTTTTCTAATACATGTACTGTACATTGTATATTTTAAAAGTGATAATTCCCATACCTACATGTAATCATGGTAATAGGTTTCATTATTTCAATTGTACCACACATGTTGTATTCTAATATTTATTAGAAATGATCAGTTTTCATGCATGTACCTAATGTGTTCAAAATTTCAATTGTACCACAAGCATGACAAGTGCTGTTTTCTAACATTTATTATTAATGATCATTTTTTTTTACATGTAAACCTAATGTGTTTCAGAATTTCAATCAGACAATTGTGCCACATGTGTTCTTTTCTCATGTATTATATTGTATTACATACCTGATGTGTTCCTTAATTCATATAAGTGCCTTCATGAGGGGTGGACAGGGGTAAGGGAACATACAGGTAATCTGCAGTGGTAAATATTTGTTATGTTTAAGATTAAATTACTTGAAAGATGTCATTAACAATGGAAATTCTCCTAAATTTATTACATTTCTCCATTAAATTTGCTTTATTTCAATACAAATCTTTACTGATCATCCAAGATTGCGAAAGACACCCATATAGTCAGATAGTATTTATTGAGTGATATATTTAGCAGTACTCTTATGAATAATTTACAAATTGAAATGTGTATGTATATTAAGGGGTTTTGTGTGAAATTTGGTTTACAATGAAGAAAAATTTATTATAGTGCTTTTATTTTTTTGTTTGTTTTGTTGTTTATAATGTTGTTGTTGTTTTTGTTCATTTTAATTACATAACGTTATTTTACTTTTATAATGATTAAAAAGATCTAAAATAAAATTCAAAACTACTCATTGGTTTTGTTTATTTTTCTTGCCCATTCATCAAAATTTTGGTAAGTGCATATGCCAGTGATTTTACATTTTATAGGGTTGAAAATTGTTTATTTGGTGTACATGGTATAGATTTTGTGGTATAATATTTATGGCCCTGTGGCTCGTAATATTAAACCAAAAATCCCTGACCAAAAGTGATGGTATTTAAATTATATACTGAAAAGAATAGAAATCACCAGGGGCGGATCCAGGATTTTAGGTTAGGGGGGGCGCAAAGTTAAATTTTTTTTAGGTAAAATTATCGAAATATTCTTTATTAAGCTAAGAACAACCCATGCTTTGCAAATTTTAGGGGGGTGCACACCCCCGCCCTAATGTGCCCCTGATCACCAATGGGGAACTCGCCTATAGTTGCTAGCTTCTACGTCATTTGGTCTCTGGTGGAGGGTTGTCTTATTGGCAATCATACCATATCTACTTATTTTTGTATCTTAAACTCTAACTTTATAAAATAAAAAAACAACAATACAATGGGTAAAAGTAAAATGACGAGAGACAAAAACAAGTGCAAAAACCAACGCAAAGAAGACTTGATTGAGCAACACTATCTCCAATGAAAGCTGGGATGAATTCATGTACTCTTGAAGGATGGGCAGTTCCTGCTGTAAATGTCATGTGCTCTGGAAGGGTCACAGTTCCTGCTGTAAATGGCATGTGCTCTGGAAGGGTCAACAAATCCTGCTGTAAATGTCATGTGCTCTGGAAGGGTCATCAGTTCCTGCTGTAAATGCCATGTGCTCTGGAAGGGTCACAGTTCCTGCTGTAGATGTTTCTGAACTTTATAAAATAAAAAAACAACAATACAATGGGTAAAAGTAAAAAGACGAGAGACAAAAACAAGTGCAAAAACCAACGCAAAGAAGACTTGATTGAGCAACACTATCTCCAATGAAAGCTGGG